TCATTTCAGGTCTCTCTTGTAAATGAGTCCTCGAGGCTCAATGGGATTAACCCGTCTAAATAAAGGTTGAATGAAATTTAATACCATTAATTTTCATATTTAACCTTTTATTAAATTGCATTTATCACAGTAATCTCTCAGTATGTTTCTAAATATAATCAAGTTTTATCATCCGAACAGCCACATCACCTTGTTATTGTTAAAACACCATGTAGAAATACATTTTTAAATATTTATGATAAACTACAAACACCTGAAACTGACTCTCTGAGAGAACTTTGTGAGTTGCGGGTGAAAAAAATTAAAGTTAAACAGAGACACACATCTCTGCTATAATCTGGGGGGAATTACATATTTATCTTTTAGCCTGACTATTTATTTAGAGCAAGTAACACAAACAGCCTCTCTCACTAAGAGAGAAACTCAACAGGCTGCGCGCTCCTGCAGTGATGCACGTCTCTGTCTGTCTCCGTCTGTCTTCGTCTGTCTCCCTCTCGGACCTGGAGTTTGCTCACATGCGTTAGTTACACATGTCTGTATGATGACGACGCTCCGAACACATTAGCATTTAATACAAAGTTAGATTTTAGACACAAAAGTTCGGAGGAGGTCGGGGTGAGGTGCAGGAGGAGGAGGCGATGGTGCATCAGTTCTGGTATCTCCCCCGGCTGCAGTGAATTGGTCATGTGCAAACGCATATGTTTAATAAGTACAGTGATGAAAATAAGTATTTGAACACCCTGTGACTTTACAAGTTCTCCCACGTAGAAATTATGGCGGGGTCTGAAATTATCATCTTAGGTGCATGTCCACTGTGAGAGACAATCTATTTTTTTTTTTTATCTGGAAATCACAATGTATAATTTTTATAATAATTTATTTGTGTGTTACTGCTGTAAATAAGTTTTTGAACACCTGCCAATCAGCAACAGTTCTGGCCCTCAAAGACCTGTTAGACCGTCTCTAAAAAGTCCACCTCCACTCCACTTATTATTCTAAATTAAAAGCACCTGTTTGAGGTGGTTAGCTGCATAAAGACACCTGTCCACCCCACACAATCAGTAAGACTCCAACTACTAACATGGCTAAGACCAAAGAGCTGTCCAAAGACACCAGAGACTAAATTGTAGACCTCCACAAGGCTGGAAAGAGCTACGGGACAATTGTCAAGCAGCTTGGTGAAACAAGATCAATTGTTGGAGCAATTATTAGAAAATGGAAGAAGCTAAACATGACTGTCAATCTCCCTTGGACTGGGGCTCCATGCAAGATCTCACCTCGTGGCGTATCAATGATCCTAAGAAAGGTGAGGAATCAGCCCAGAACTACACGGGAGGAGCTGGTCAATGACCTGAAGAGAGCTGGCACCACTGTTTCCATGGTTACTGTGGGTAATACACTAAGATGTCATAGTTTAAAATCATGCATGTCACGGAAGGTTCTCCTGCTTTAATCAGCACACGTCCAGGCCCGTCTGAAGTTTGTCCATGACCATTTGGATGATCCAGAGGAGTCATGGGAGAAAGTTCTGTGGTCAGATGAGACCAAAATAGAACTTTATGGTTTTAATTCCACTCGCCGTGTTTGGAAGACGAAGAATGATGAGTACCATCCCAAAAACACCATCCCTACTGTGAAGCATGGGGGTGGAAGCATCATGCTTTGGGGGTGTTTTTCTGCACATGGGACAGGACGACTGCACTGTATTAAGGAGAGGATGACCGGGTCCATGTATTGTGAGATTTTGGGGAACAACCTCCTTCCCTCAGAACATTGAAGATGGGTTGTGGCTGGGTCTTCCAACATGACAATGATCCGAAGCACACAGCCAGGAGAACCAAGGAGTGGCTCCATAAGAAGCATATCCAGGTTCTGGAGTGGCCTAGCCAGTCTCCAGACCTAAACCCTATAGAAAATCTTTGGAGGGAGCTCAAACTTCGTGTTTCTCAGCAACAGCCCAGAAACCTGGCTGATCTAGAGAAGATCTGTGTGGAGGAATGGGCCAGAATCTGCTGCAGTGTGTGCACACCTGGTGACAAACTATAGGAAACATTTGACCTCTGTAACAGCAAACAAAGACTACTGTACCAAATATTAACATTGATTTTCACAGGTGTTCAAATACTTATTTACAGCAGTAGCACACAAATAAATTATTAAAAAATCATACATTGTGATTTCTGGATTTGTTTTTATGTCTCTCACAGTGGACATGCACCTAAGATGAAAATTTCAGACCCCTCCATGATTTCTAAGTGCGAGAACTTGCAAAGTCACAGAGTGTTCAAATACTTATTTTCCTCACTGAGTTTAGGGTCTAAAACAACAGGATTCACTTGACTGGCATCTCTTCATGAGATGTTCAAGTGCGCACGTGTCTCTGGGTTCTAAGTCAGAACTTACAAGAAACCTCAAATTAAACCTAAACTTGTAGAAGATTAAACATAAGCTGACTTGTAAAGACGATGTCCATCTTTTTATTATAACCAGTGTGAAAATTACTTAAATATTCAGATTTTTATCTTTAGAGATGAGGGAAAATCTAAACACACACAAAACTTTCTGTATCCAGACTGGAAAAATACTAAATCGATTTACCAGACTTGTCAAGGACCCTGAATTTTGACTTATTATATTCTTCTGCAGATCTATAATAGATCTCAGCAGGAACGTCCTACCTGGGAAACTTGGAAGAGGTTTTCCGTCTACCTTGTAGGCCACGCCCACTTTAATCTCAGGCAGTGTGTCCAAAATATCCAGCTTCGTCAGGGCAATTCTGCAAAAACAAAAAGTCGAAATGACCAACCCTGACGAATGTGAACAAAGAGCTGAGCTGCTCCTGCGTCGGGTGGAGAAAACAGTTCAACGGTTCCTTACGCGGAGAAGCCGTTGACCATGTGGGCGTATCGAACCAAAATCAGGTCCAGCCAACCACACCGCCTCTTTCGACCCGTCGTCACACCAAACTCTCTTCCTCTGGTCTGTAACAGCTCCCCGACCTCCTGCAGCAACAAGAGAGGAACAAAATCAGCTGCAAACACAAGCTCAACAGATCAGCACGATTGTCTTGATGGAGCCTTTCTGTTTTTATTCTGACGCTGGGCAATAACACAGACTCCAAATTAAATCAGGATTAAATGCACGTTTGCCGAGTACCTCAGTGGTTTGTTAGGGTTTTTAAAAGAACTGAACAGAGCAGCGTCTGGACAACCTGCAGCTGACGATGTCAGCAGGAAGCAGCTGCAATAAGAAGGTTTATCGACGTCTGAGTCGATGTTTGGCTGCAGAAACAAAATTAATGCAACAACCTGAAGGACGACCTCAAACTGTTAAGACAATTTGGTTTTAAACACGTCTAAACAGTAACAAGTCTGGTTTAAAACATCCGAAGCTGCTGGCACTTTGTAAACTGAACATTTTCACCACAACTTTAACAATCTTCAAAACATTCATCTCCACTTTGGGAAAATAAGCAGTTCATAAAACCGTACGTTGTCCTGCTCTGTTGGGAAGGCACCAACGCCCACCCGGGTCGTATAGGCTTTGACGACACCGTACACACGGCCCACGTAGGAGGGAGGAACACCGAGACCAGTGCAGACGCCGCCGACGGTGCAGTTGGACGACGTCACGAAAGGATACGTCCCTAAACAAACACACGCGTTAATCTCTGGCTGTCAGATTATTGTCATTCTGCACTGCCAGCGTCTAACTGCTCACCGAAGTCGATGTCCAAGAGGGCAGCGTTGGCCCCCTCCACCAGGATTTTCTTACTGGGTCCAGTAAGAGCTTTGTGCATGAAGTACACACCATCTGTCACCATAGGGCGCAGTCTCTCTGCGTAGTCCTAAAAACCAGAACAGTCAGACAAAACTTTTACTCTCTGCTGCTTTCACTTTCTTCTTCTATGTTTAAATTACAAGCTATTTCAGCAGCTTCTCACACTTTAGACATACAAGTAGAAACACACGTTGTAAATATTTACAAAAATGGCTCGGATGGTTACATGTGTGCTGTTTTGACATTTATGGTGGTTAAATGTCTTTAATAGCACTGCGTTTCCAATTACAAAGCTCCACTTGTAACACACACACCCCCGCCCCTCCAAAACACACACACACACACACACACACACACACACACACACACACACACACACACACACACACAA